GTAGCCCTTTTTTTATCATGAGGAAGGGGAAACGTACTCCTTTCTTGCAGGTCTTCCTCTGAGAAACCTTCCCTGCCTACCCCACAGGTTTTTGTGCTGAGAAGCGTGGTGTGCAGAACAGTTTTCCATTGTTCTGCAGGTCTCGCTGCTATTAGTTCATTTGTGCAGATAGACCATTACCAAGGCTGATCAAATTCCTATTATCTGGATCTCTTAATCCTTGGATGTTACTCTTGACTACATTCAAGCTTTATCATTATGTCCCTTTTCATCCTTAAAGATTTAATTGGAAGAGTCCTCAGTTAATTTCTGCGTAGTTCTTCTTGAAGCAGGCTTGTTACTTTAAGTACTGGCAAGGGAGCTGATTTTTCTCTGGGAAAATCTCATTAAGGCTTCAGCATTCCAGCATGGAAGACATTTCCAACATCAGCCCCTTTCCCACACTGTGCTGATGGGGGCCTGTGGGATCTGAATGTCAGTGACCTCCCCTTTCTTTTGTCACCTCAAACTTACCATGGGGTGTGTAGATGTGATCCACAGCTGAGCGTGCAGAGGAGAAAGTCTCCTGGAACTGGTGTCTGGAGAGGATGGGTGCCAGATACAAACAGTGACTTTGGCTAGTGAAGCCTTAGCAAAGCTTGGCTTAGGGTGGGCAACTGCAGCCTCTGGCAGGCATTCAGTTTACCACACTTGGGTTGCTTTTATGGGGTAACAGGGAACAGCTTGCTGATATTTCAGATCTTTAAAGGTTTTGTGGACTCACATAGAGCAAACATGGCAATACAAGCCCATCTTTCTTGAAATAAGCTAACCAATTTTAAATTTTATTTTTTTAGTAGAGAAAACTCAAATTTAGGCAGATGCTTGGCATGAAATGTGTCGACTCATACAATTAAACCTTGGTAACATTTTAAACAAAAGCTTAAATACTGAAAGTATGAGGACACATAGTGCTACAGATCGACCTCAGACAGAATTCCCACGAAGTGAACTGTGCTTAGCAACCATAGGTCCCTAGCTCTGCAGGGAAGGTGCCAGGATGGTGTGCTCCTCTGCGTGATGCTCCTGAAGGGGTTCTCTGAGACAATACCAGCACATGGTAGCAAAATGGTTGATGATCTGCTGCTTGGATTCACAGGGATGCCTGGGGAGTGTGTGCGCAGGGTATCTGACTACTCTGCACTATCACCATGCACTGTCTCCCAGAAAATCAGCTGCTGGGCTTGCACTTCTCCTAGCTTACCTCTAATAACATTTTTGCTTTTTGGTTTACTTGTATCAGTTCCTTAGTTTTATTTTCTGTAAGCAAACAAACAAAAATTCTTGTAGCCCTTGTCTGTCAAAAATAATCCTTCTGATTGAAATTATTCCCACAAATCCCTGTATAATTTAAATTATTATTTGTCTGGCATTCAAATGTAAGCAGTTAAAAGCTTGTATTAATGCTGCTTCTCCTTTCCTCAGGTTGTGAAATAACCTGGCTCCACCTACTGCATGCATCGTTATAACATGTCGTTTCAGAAAATAATTGTAATGTGCACAAATGCTTCATTCGTTGCAGTAGGTCGAATTCAGTGCCTGTGGCTACAGACTGCCCCATTTTTTTATTTCTAAAGAAAGATGGGTTTTTAAGACCTCCGTGATAGATCACTGATGTATTGCATCTTCTTACACAAAGAAGCAAGAATCTTAAATTCAAAGAACATCTGCTCCTGTTTATATTTTTTTCAGGCAATATCTGTAAAGTTTTATTTATTTCTATTTTTTTTTGATGAACCAAACACATTTGTAGCTTCAAGGCTACAAAGTCAAGCATCAGACTGAGAAACAACAGAATTAAGACTGTTTGTACTACCTTGGTTTGGTCAACTAATATCCGGAATTTTTTTTTTTTTCCCCAAGTCTCAGCCTCCCCACTCTTACCCTGATCCAGTGTAGATTTGTAGTGATTGCTTGTCCTACTTGATTTCCCCAGCTCTCAGCAGCTTTGCTTGGTTACTCCCAAACTCCAGCCACTTGTCCCAGATGCTCTCAGCCCTCTCCTAGCTTCATATCCCATTTTTATATCCCCCTAGGCAGCTGCCTCCCTCTGCTCTTTTCTCCCTAATGGATGCAGGTTTTTGCTCTTAGAATTCAAATCAGGCTGTTCTATTATTATTATTATTACACTTGTATTTTACTATTATTATTATTATATTGTTGTTTTACTATCATCATATATTGTTATTTTATTATTACAGCTGCCCTGAACTGTTAAGCCTCTTTACTTGTGCTTGGACAGGGAGTAGCACTGCTCTGTTGTGGTTTTGTCTGTGAGTCATGATGAATAAACCAATGCATTGAAGGTCATCGTCCAAAAAGATTGTTAGCCACATTAATAAGGTTGGTATGAACAAGGTTGGAAATATTTTCCCAAATTTGAGCTTTTTTTGTGTATTTTTATAGCATAACTTAAACAGATCTTTAAAACAAGGATTTACTTCAAACTAGAAATGTAGTGACAGTTAAAAATGAATCCCAGTAAGTTTTTGAACTGAGAAATACATGTAATCTCTTCAGGATATAGTTTTATCTAGGCAAGTCAAAGTTTTCCAGTAAGACATTTTTTCATTAGATTTTACATTCTTCTGTAAATTTACATGTTGTTGTAAAATTCCCAATCTGTTCTGCTGTTTGCTTTGAAACAACAAAACCATGTTGTCCTCGGCCCTCGTCAGAAGTTGGCCTAAGTCTTGTGTGAGAACTTTGGTGAAAGACAGAGCCTTTATACCGCTGGATTTCATACCTCCTCTGTTACTGCAGTTTTTAGAATCATCCAGTTCTCTGAATATTACTTGGATCCTTCTCTTTGCTGATGGTGTTTCCCCACTTTGCATTACCATGAGCATGTATCTTTTGCGTGAGCTTGTTAGCTGCTGCTCTAGGCATTTCATTCATGATTTTGCTCCCATTATTTTTTTTCATAGGCAATTTTAAAATAAACTTTGATAGCGAGTCAGCTTTGTCTAGAGAAGCGAAGGCAACTGTTTCTTTGTGTGTGTTGCTGTTTATCTTTTAAATAGGAATGAACTGGGTTTTCACAGCCATAGTCTGTATCCACAGGTTGAAAAATTGCATGGGATAATTCTCAAGGAGCTTGTGCAGCATCGTGGGGATTCTCCTTCCACAGTGCTTTGACAAGTAATGTTGTTAGAAGATCCTTCAGAAAGTATACAAAGTGTGAAAGAAACATCAGGGAAACATCCATATTTAGGGAATAGAGCAGACAGTACCTACGTTCCACTGCTCCAGAGCTAAACAAAGCCTTCAGGACACAGTGTTTTGCCCAGAATTTCTTGCTGTCCTCAGGTTTCTATTAGATTAAACCTGTTCATGCTATTGATGAGCACTGAGTTAAATACCAATCTGAGAAAGAACTGACAGCAACCTGAATGCCCTCCTGTGGACTTGTTCAGCACAGAGTGATCAAGTGCATAATATTAATGGACTGTCTGTCTGCATCAACAGTTTTAAGAAATTAATCAAATGAAGTAAGGACAAACTGTGACACTGTCAGTCAAGTTCACCTCTGTGCAGACAACTCCCAGATTGCAGGGATTTGATTTAATTTGATTTGATGAATAGGTGAATTATTTATTTTTACATAGAACTCTGACATTTTTCTGAACCATAGGATGGATGCAGCACAAAAATGACATTAACAGGTAAAAAAATACCATCTTTCTCCCTACCTTTATCTGTCTTTGTCTCAGATTTGCAAATTCTTTGGAGTGAGTTTGTGTCTTGCTCTTAGGCTCCCTATGCCTGACAGTTATACTAAGCTAGAGTATGTTTTTTGCAAGGATATGAGTTTTCAATAACTCCTATACTCTTTCCTTAATAGTATTGATTGTAAAGGACCTTTGACTGTCATTGATAATATGACATTCTAAATTTGGCACAGTCTCTACAGACTTTAATAATGCTTACCCATTCCAGAATGCTGCTGTTTATTCTTGGGCAAAGTCTCTGTTAGAGAATCTTGAAATAAAAATCAACAAATGTATGTAGCTTTTAGCACTGCACTTAGTATTACATGTTTTGCTGACAAATCTGAAGTTATCACTATAAATTGTGTATGTTGTATAGTTTATGAATGTGTTGGGATTAATGGATAGACATAGAGTGCAGACTATATGAATTCTGTGAAGTTGGGTCCACTTTTGCCCGGTTCTCCACTGTTTAATAGAATAAATTTGCTTGACTCAGTTTTGTTTGCTTAGATTTGACTCAAAACCTCTTAGTGTGAGTAAAACTCCTACATTGTTACCACACTTAGATAAACCTATATAGATCTTAATTGCTGTTTTGATGGTACACCATACACTCCTGTATAGAAAGCTTTTGATGTTGGGTAATCTCTGCTTGCTTCTGCAGCTTCTTACTACTTTTTTTTTTTTAAATTTTATTATTTGCATTGTGAATATCTGAAAAGTATTTGTAGGAAACCAGACTTTTTTTAAAGAACATAAAAGTATTCTGCCTGTACTGAAAATAGTTTTCCCAGCTGTTGGTGTCTCCAAGCCATGACAGTGCCAGGGGACAGTGCTGGGACATCCCTCCCGAACACCCACATCCTCTGCACTGTGTGAATTCCAGTGCAAATGAAGTGACAGAAAACATTTATAGTTTGTGATTTAAATCTTTTGCTGTATACAGGTGTAATACAAAATATTATTGCACCTGAGCTCTGTCCAGCCCTTACTTAATCCAGGGAAGAGCCACTTTAGCTGGCTGACATGTACCTTGTGCTTCCTAGAAATGTCTTGTGTCTCACCGTGCGCGTGGTGGGTATCTCATCACCTACCCACCTCCAGCACTCTGACAGTGGTTATGTGATTTCCCTCCTTCCAGGCAAGTAAGAAAATGTAGTGGGACGGAGGCAAGGACGAGAAGCCTCGAGCGAGCACTGGGACGAGGGCCTCCGGGCTGGACTCCCCTCTCTGCCGCGCGGCCTCATCATGTCCAAGAAGGGCACCAGCAGCCGAGCTAGGGGGGAGAAGCCGGACGCCTTGGCTGCCTTGCAGGCTGCCAATGAAGAGCTCAGGGCCAAGCTCACCGACATCCAAATAGAGCTCCAGCAAGAAAAGAGTAAGGTGTGCATCTTTTCCTTTCTTTCCCCTATTGATTTAAATAAAGATAGTCTGTTGTTTCTGACCGCTAACCACTCTTTGCCCCACTTGTAGCTGACTTGTACACGACTTCGACAATAAATCAGAGTGCGTGCACCTGGAGCTAGCCTTCTGTGGGAAACAAGAGGCAACCCCTTTATTGCAGATTTTTAAACTGTTCTCCTTGTATATATAACGTGCGTATGATACAAAAGAACTCTGGAAGCGAGGGTGCTTTGGTGGTGTGGCTCTTGGTGGGAAAGCTGAGCAGTGAGGATGGCCAGTCCCTGGGCAGGCAGGACTCAGCCGTGGGCAGCACGCTTGCTCCTGCCATCCATGAAGAAATGAAGTTGAAAAATCACATAGCTAAATGCCAGCAAAAGATCTGGAAAAACAAACACCTGCTCAAAACAGATGGCATAATCATAGCGGTGGGCTGAAAGCTGTCCACATCCTCTCTTTCTTCCGCTACAACTTTTTCTAGTAAATATTTACCTATTTATGAGGATGGCTACATTGAGCGTTTTGAATGCAATTTTGTGTTATTCAGAAATTCTCTTTGCTGATTCTTCTCTTTCACATTTACACTAATTTCATTTGGATTTTATGCTCAAAATCCTTCAGACTGGCTGCTTACAATCTCCAGATGTATGGTAATAGGCCTCAGCTCTGCCTCCTGCTCTGATTGCCAAAGTTTAAGGAGCCACAGTTTCACCCTGAGCCTTTGAAGGAGTGGCAGCTGATGCAGCTTGAGCCTCAGCTTTAAGAGCTTTCAGCCATAGCCTTCAGACCACTTCTGAGTGAGGGCATAAAAAATTTATTTGCTTTTCCCTAATCCCCCAAACTAGTTTCTACTGATAAACTTTGGGGCTTTCTTTGGTTCCAGAATGTTAAGAGACATGCATTACCATGAAGGGGCAGAATGATATTCTGCATTTTTTCGTTAATTTGCATCATTATTAGGCATTGTATACTATGAATACAATTTTTAAGGAAGCTTCTAAGGGGATGGTGGGGTGTGTGTGTATCTATATATATGTATAAATAGAATATCTATTAATCCTTTTGTTGTGAACCAGCATTTGCAGTTTTAAGACTGAGGACCCTGTTTTCCTTCTCCCTGTCCTCCCCAGCCACTTCTCATCATGGCTTCTTTTGAGTTTATGGTATGGTTTTAAATTGAAATGTCATTTGACCCTTCTGTGGTCAGATACAGTTAGTTATTTGTACTGAATAATTAATTGCTTAAAAAGCATCTGATAAAACGCAATTGTTTGGGGCTTCACAGTAGCTTGCACAGAGCTTTTTATGTCTTGCATATGCATGTGCGCACAGTGCAGTTTGGATCTGTGTGCCTGAGCTTGCAAAAATAATGGCTTAGCATCTGATTTCTCATGTATTCTTTGAGGGACGTGGTGTGAGAGCTTCTGCAGATATCTAGATGAAGAATAAAGTCAAGACCCAGACTTACTCCACAAGATACTGCTTAATTCCTAAATGTGTATTATCTTAAACATTAGTCTGTTTGCAGAACCTATTACACACACGCTAGCCTAGTTTCTGAGCCTACACTTCCTGTAGCATTTGGATATGGATGGTTAGTTTACCAAGAAATTTTGTGCTTCTTGCATAAATTTATGATACTTATTTATATTGTGTTAACTCGTGCTTTTTAGGGCACTGAACTGAGCAAATTAAAGAGTCCATAAGATTGCAAGGGATTATTATTTAATTATAAAAATAGAATATGATGCTAAAATCAGCATTGGTGCCTAGACTTTTATCCTCAATATCAGTAATTTGCAAAATGATGGTGATACATTTGTTTCCCTTTTTCTAAATATGCAGATATTTCTGCTTATGCTGGATTCCAGTGAAAGAAAGGTCTTTTCTACAAATTTGTCAGGGTTCTTTTTCTTGTTTTCACAAATTACTTTTTCCTTAGAAGAATTCTCAAAGTCTTCTGTAATATCACAGTTTTTTCTTTACACTTGCACAGTTTGGTTCTGCAGTGCAATCATTTGTGAGGCAGGCTTAGGCATATTCTTAGCAAGGAAACCTTATTGTGTCAACTGAGGAAGAAAAATGTATCTTTAGTGAACTGAATTGACTGGAACATTTTTCCCAATAAACATTTCAGTAATTAAATACAATGTAGCAAATACCCACTTCTTAATTTTAGCATTTAAATGTGTGTACAGGCTGGTCTGATAAACACTGTAGGGCAGAAAAGACAACAAACTGATATGCACTCCCTGCCTCTGAATAAACCTGCCCAAAGGAGAGGGTCAGCTATGCAAACACTGCAAATGCTACTGCAAATACATGGTGAGAATATCTTCTAGTGCAATACCCGCCGTTATGCAGGAACCACTTCAATAAAGAGCTGAGGTGGGTTGTATTTTCCCCTAAGACACGTGATTCTCATTTGTAGCCCAAAAAATCACTGATGACTGCCTGCCAACTCTGCCGGCTCTTCTGGTGTGTGTGTGCACATGTAACCTCCCAAGCAGGGCTGCCTAGTCCCTAGTGCAATGGACAATCATAGATGGGAAACTGGACATCAGTGCCTAACTCAGTGCAGTGGTGCACAGGCATAGCCACCCAGAGGACAGGTTGTATCTTAAGGGTTTTAGACATTGCCACTGTCGATTTTGATTATGTGGAACTACAGTAGCTATATCAACAACAAGGTGAACGCTCGTTAGTGCTTCTGGAGAGGATGGGTCTGTCAGGGCTAAGGCAGAGTTTTTCCCAGAGTATTTGTGGTAGATTTAGAATCGCTTTTACAACCCCGAGTACTCCTGACTGTGTTGCTAGATTAGCTGTGTCACTAAAGATCCCCACAGGTACCTGCCAAACCTCAAGTCCAATGACAGCTGTGACAGTACATTGAAAGTATTTGCCATAAATTGTAAAAAAATCTTTTCCCTATGAAAATGTTTTACAGGGGTTTGTAATGTGTATTTTCTTCACACAAAATTTTTCAAGAGAGGAAATTTCTCTTTTGTAAGGCTACAGCGTGAAGACTGTGCGGCAGAGCTCAGTGACCCTAGTTTTACCCAGAACCTCTTTAAGAAAGCGGTGTTTAATATGTAATAAAGTATTTGATCACAAAGAATGACAAAATGCCAAATATGTAGTTCTGCGTGAGGTAGTACTACTTGACTGGCCTTTCACTCTAAGGTACAGACATACAACGTTAAGGTCTAATATTGTAAAGTGATCTGTACCATTTTTAAATAATATCATAATTTGTATTAATCAGTCTGTTGATCAAAAATACTTTTTTTGGCTTTCCTTGTAGGTCAGCAAGTTGGAAAGAGAGAAAAATCAGGAAGTTAAGCAGATCAAAGAGCACGAACAGCATAAAAGTACAGTGGTGGTAACAGAGCTCAAAGTCAAACTTCATGAAGAGAAAATGAAGGAGCTCCAAGCTGTTCGAGAAGCACTTTTGAGACAGCACGAAGCTGAACTACTTAGAGTAATAAAAATTAAAGATAATGAAATCCAGAGACTACAGACCCTTCTCAATGCTGTACGCGATGGGGCTCCTGACAAGGTGAAAACGGTGCTGCTCACAGAGGCGAAAGAGGAGGCCAAGAAGGGGTTTGAAGTTGAGAAAATAAAAATGCAGCAAGAAATTTCAGAGCTGAAGGGGGCTAAGAAACAAGTGGAAGAGGCTTTAACTATGGTCATCCAGGCTGACAAAATTAAAGCAGCGGAGATAAGGAGTGTGTATCACCTGCATCAAGAGGAAATCAGCAGAATTAAGAGGGAGTGTGAGAGAGAAATTCGTAGACTGGTATGTGTTGCTATCTGCATCTATGTTTTTACTAACACGTTATTGATAGTAAGTAAATGAAAGTTCAGTGCTGGACTCAGATGAATCAAACTTCTGGAACTTGCTTCGAATCTGTTTTACATTTACCAGTAGAGATGTCAAAATGTTTTTAAAAACTATTAGGATGTGTTGTAAGGAACTTTTTTATCCACGTTAGTACCTACTGATATTGTTCACATTTCAGATATCAGGAAGAGGCCTTGGGTTACTAGCTGGTTAGGGGAAAGCTACAAACCAGTTATGTTTCTTGGCACATGCCTCTATTTCCCCACCATTTGTTCCTTGCTGATCCACCTTGGTCCCTCCTTTTCCCTGCCTTTGCTAGTTCCTGTAAACATCCCATAATGAGCTTTACACAAGCCCCAAATGCTCTTTCTTCTGCATCCCATAGTGAGTCCTATACCTTGTAGGCAATGACCCCCTTCACTCTGCAAGGTGTTCAGGAAGGAGCTTCTCTCCGTGATCCACCTCAGTGGCTTTCTCCCAGGGCAGGTGCTGGTGCTCCTCCTTGGGTGGCCCCGTGAGCAGCGACCCAGCACACTCCCCACCTCAGCAGGTCACTGGGGTTCCTCACCCATCATTGCTCATCTGATCCTCACTGGGTCTTTGTGTGTGCTGATCAGGCTTCAGTTACCTAATCGAACCATTTGAGTCTCAGGTGCAACAGTTTGAGTCTCAAAGGCAATAGCTACATGCTTACAGCTTTGGAGTATTCCTCCAGTGTGTCTGGAAACTTGTTAGAGAGGTTAAAATGGATCATGTTGCTTGGAAAAGGGGAGAACTCCCTGCCAGAGGGAGCTGCCTCCAAGAGGGAAGTCTTTGCATGAGAGCCTGGCAGGCCACCAACACTTTCTGGGTTTTAGATGATTTCTTCTCCACTGCCATCTCAGACACTTGCCTTACAATTCACACAGTCTTGTGAGTGCACAGCTGATTTGCAGGACTGTATCCCTTAGCTGCTGCTGCCTTTCCCAAGGACATGGGAACAAATGTAACACCCATACTCTTGTGATGCGTATTTTGGGTCTTGGCTCAGTATTTATTTGAAGTTACCATCTTTTTGTGATTGCCATGCTTTCTTGTAGCATTCAGTGTCTCAGTATAAACTCATCCATGTCTCTTCTAAGTTGTTATCCCTTGACTATTATCCAAATACTCAAAAAAATTTAAAAATGCACAATCAGCTTGTAGACTGGCCCCAAGTCAAAGTATGGCAGCATAGCCATGCTTCAGTGAATACTCTGCAGAACCTACCCACCACAGAGCTGGTACAGCATCGTCTGTGTCCTAATGAACCAAAGTGACTGACAGCAGCTGAGACACTGTGCACTGCTCCATTATTCAGTGGAGTGCTATGTACCCTTTATTTAACCACCCATTCTCTCAGACTTCAGGGTGTGGTTTTTTTCCCTCATAGATTATTTTATTTTTATGAAGAGGATATTAAAATAATTTATAACCAACTGATCTATTGATACTTTTCAAATATCCTGCAGTGGAAGTACTTTCTTCTCTAAACATACATTACTAGATGCATTGATTTAATACATCAGAATGAAAGGATGGCTAATGTACATCCTAAATAAACTTGCTGCATTACATAAAAGTCCACATTAATGGCCTCTAATGTAGAAACTATAAAATAAATATGTTCTTAATTATAAGGAATAGAGTGGTTTGATGTTCTGTTTTCTAAATTGCCTTTGAAAATCAAACTTTTTTTTAACTCCTGCTTGAAAGAATCAGATTATCTAACTGTACTAATTAAATTACATGATGCCATCGTTTTACCAAGCCCTGAGTGCTTCCTGAATGACTTTAAGTACTCTCAGCTCCATTGACTTGACTGTAATTGATTTCAGTGGGAGCTGTTGGCTCCTGGCACCTTGTAGGGGAGGGCCCTGCCATTTCAGGGGGGAAAGGCTGGTGCCATGTTGTATGATAAAAGCTCTCCTCTCTATGAAAAGGAGGCAGTTCTCAAAACACTTAAACTATTACTGAAAACCAGTGCTTTTTTCCCTTTTTAAGATAGAGGTCATCAATAACGTACAGTCATTGAGCCTCACTGGGGTTGCAACGAGATAGAGAGAAACACAGAATATCCTGATGTGAGCGGGTCCATCCATCCAGCAGAGCAATGGGATTGCACCTTCATGTAACGGCTGTGGCAGACATCCAGCCCTGAATTGTTAATGGATTCACATCAGGATTTTAAAAGCTCCGTGATTCATGTACGATGCATTATTTAGTCATTTTAATCAAGGGGGAAAGTAACCTTTGAGAAAATTATGATTTCATGCCTAGAAAAATACTACTTTTTTTGTTTAGTCAGAACGGAGAAAGACAAGTTGTACTCATTCATGTTTAGCTTTGCAATGATGTGAAGCCCTTTAACATTAAGTAATTTTTTGAGGTTATTTATCTCTGATAGGTACAGTTTTTCATTTGCAAGTCAAGTATATCTATGCGGGCTTAGCTTATGGAAAATACTTCCATACATAGTCAGACAAAAATTGTTATAAAAAGGTGAGTTAGTACTAATCCATTATTCTCCTTTCAAATTTAAACTACTTTTTTTTTCTTTATTGGACAGACAGGAACACATTTGTTGATGTCTCACTTTATACATTTGGAAAAATATTAGATGGCCTTTAAAGTAACAGGTGTGGTAGGAAGACAGAGCATTATGCAAAAAGGAACTGTACAGCCACCAAATTTTCTTCAAGCAAATTGGAGTTTATTTTGGTCTTCAGCATCATCCTCTTTTGTCAGATTTTGCCAAGGGAGATGCAGGGCATCTGCTGATGTGAACAGCTCAGGCTTTCAAAATAACCAGCTCTAATATAAACCTTTCCATTTTGTTGAGTTACTACAACTTTGAAGTTAAATTGTCCTAACAAGCTAAACCCAGTGCCAGTGAATGAACTTTGTCCTCACCAGGTTTCTAAGGGGAATCCCTGCATTTTTGCCCTCTTCCAGAAGAGATCTTGGTGAAGGCTCAGCTGCACTGTAGCCTCTCAAACCAGCTGTGCCTACCTGTGCACTCTACTGATCTCCAGCAGCAAAACTAAATTCAAAATATAATTGTGGTCAAAATGAGACTTCCAAACGCAACTGTAAGCTGGGTCCTCCCCAGCTTGCACTCTCGTGCCAGGACATGTTTTCAGCAGACCCAAAATAGAGAACAAACAGGCTGTTAGAATAGAGGGGTAATATTTGCAGGTGGTAATTTTGGTAGTTTTGCACTGCAGGCACTCAGAGGCTTGCAGATTGTAACAGCTAATAAGGTGTAATCTCTCTTTAGAAACAGTTCCTGCTTAGTATTTACCAAATAAAAATTCCAACTATTTATTCTAGTTATTTTTCTGGGGCCAGGGTAACTATTACTCATTGATGCCAATGGCTTCAGACTAATCCTATACAGCACGGCTGAGCGTCTTTCAGTTCTGTGAACAGCATAGGAAATGAAATAACGTGTTTTGCAAAAGTGTATGTTCAAATTATTCTGGCCTCATGGCTTCTGTTTGCACATATGGCTTGTGCTGTTTGTGTCTGTAAAGTCTGAGTGTGACGCTCTCTAGAGAAGTACAGCTAACCTAGTTAAGCTATCCCTGGCTCAGAAGCTTAAGAAATGTGAATGTGAAAGATAAAAGTCCCTTGCAGATGGTAACAAGTAAGTATGGCAATGACTTCCTTTCTAAAGAATTTCTAATTTTAGTAAACTTTTTTAAAGTTTAATTTGTGCATTTTAAAACATCTTAAAATACTACACAAATGTATTTACATTCGTATGGTCTCCAACTAATAACAGCACACCATGTGTTAGTGTGTGCATGTCCAGGGAAAACAGCCCTTCAGCCAGGAGAATTCCCTGAGATTAACTGGCCTTGAATTTTGCTTAATGGGGACTAAACTTCAGTGCGGTAAAGAGCATTTAAATTTTACTTAAATGTAGATTGATCAGAAAGGAGAAGTGCTGAACAGCAATGGCCACTGCAGCCTCCCTTCCCCCTGTCTCGTAAGGGGACTAAAAAAAAATTCAGAAAAACTAAAGAAATGAGATTTGTTAGAGACTGGAAAGTGTTTATTTTTAATTTAAGGTAAACTTTAGTTGATGATGACTACCGAAAGGTTTAATAGCCTGCTCTAATACCTCTTGTAAGACCATTGTATGTTGAGACCTTCATAGCTTCTTTATAGTAATGCAACACCACAGACAAAGAGGAGATCAATCTTTTCAGTATCGCACTGAACCTCTATGTTTACAGGCGCTTTCCTGAGATTTCTCTGTTAGGCAGTGGTAGATCAGTGAAAATGTCTGATTTAAAGGATGGTATCAGATGAAAAGTGTAGGAAGCTGACTTTTTAAATATTAATTTTATTGGTGATTGATTTAGTCTTTATCTTCTCCTTTTTATTCCCATCTGTGGTGAAAAATTACCATATTTGGTATCACAAAGGTATCTCAGCAGTCATCCTGTACTGAAAGGTAGACAAATTATTCAAGGTGAATAATTCCTTCTTGCAAATGTGGGTGTTTTTCATCATTTGTGGTTTGAACCTCATTTACAACAGTATTTATTCCAACTAAACCTGGACTACTGAAGCATTTTGTTGTATATTAGAAGCTATACAACATTACTTTTACATTTTGGAGGGTCAATAAACCTCATAGTTTTGAGTTGTTCCTTTTGTGTCTGTCAGTCTAGTTCTTAAAAATGTTTCTCTCTACGGTCCTAAACAAGAAGTTTGCTCTCTTCTGTGCTGTAACCACGTCGTTGTTGTGCTACAGCACACCTAATACGGTGCTTGGGCTTGGGCATCCTGTACATCTGGAAGCACTTTGAAACTGTTGGCACTGGGTGTGAGGTTTCTGCTCTCAGCAGTGTAGGTCTGAGACACAACACACTTCATTTTATGGCATTTACCAGTGGCACTGAATAGTTACACTATCCTGAGCA